ATAGCTTGATTGCACACCATATGTTTAGTACAAGTATGGAATTTTCAGCATGTGATATCGGTAGCCCAAATTTTACAGGCCAACCATTGATATCAGGTGTGCATCACTAGGGGATCTGACCTCGGACCATGTACATGGTCAGCGAGAGTCCTAACCGCTGTGCCACCAACGCACAGTAAGGGTGCCTCCATTTTCTGTTCTATAACTGTTTTCATTAGTTCACATCACCCTAAACTATTCATGCAATTTACTACAAATACCGGCATTACAAATAATATGAAACAAAATTTTTACCTAGAACACGATTACAATGTAACACCGACAGCTTACTTGAGATTAAATTGCAAAACCAAATCAGCTAAGTGTTATTTTAGCAGTGCTTTTGTAACCACATATGAACTTGAAAATTTCTGTGAATCCAGGGATATGAATTATTTCCCCCTTTTCACTTCACTTTTTGGTAGGGATCATAAGAATGTAGCTATTTTACCTCAGAAAAAGTCGAATTTTCAAATGTTTTGTTTTTTTGCACTGTACATGTCGGGCGTAGTGTAAAAAGCTCCCCTTGAACTGTTTTCCCTTCCATACATTATTAATAGTAGTACTTTTTAGTCAATTAATGTATTTTCAAAAATTCGTAAATGTGAATACGCTTAGCTTGCATTTATTATGGGCAAAAGACTAATGTGAAATCAAAGATAACACTTTGAATGACTTACTGTAATAGCAAGATTAATACTTGCTGGGGGAAAAATACATGCAAAACAAGAAGTTAGTCGAAAATGATTTTGCCATCCATTATACATCTAGATAAAACCACTGAATTTTACCTATTACAATGTGAAATCTATTGAGTTTGTAAGTGGATGCTGAAACAGCATTTTTTGTAGACTAAGACGCAAGACAAAGATTAAGAGATGCATGTAGATTCATTTTGAAGACTTGATATTTAATTAACCAGGAATTCAAAATATGTCCAGAAAGTAGTTTGTTCGCTAAGTTATTGTTTGTAGATACCCAACATAATGCTTATGTACGAAAAAGGTTTAAACTTCAGCTTAACCAATAAAGTTGACATAAAGTATTCACTTCATTAGTTTTCGTCCACATACAATCACAGAGGAAATCCTGCAAAAGTCATTAAAACAGAACAATACTTTTACATGATTAAAATTCAGCATGTTGCAAAGGAAAGTATTTTTTTTTCTTTGTCAACGGACTTATTGCATAAGTCACTTTGTCTCTGAAGTGAAACAATAACAGATAAGTACCCAGACGAATATGATGAATGTTAAGTAGATAACTGCTTTGTTATTAATAAACTTCCAAAAATTTGCAAATTAAATTCTTATTTTCACTAATTAGATTGTGTTTGTGGATGGCATTCAGCTGCAGCACATGAACGATGAGCGAACTCTGATGTCCTAAGTGTTTATAGTTAAAATAAGAACACCTATTTATAGAAGAAAAGAGTTTATCAGTCTATAATCTGCAGTGATGTGAAACCATACGAAAAACGAAAGTCTAGGTTTTCGCAATCCAAATCCTCCATGGTCACAGAGAAATAAAGGCAGCATAGTAGTTGATGCATGGAGTACAATAGGTAGGGCATAAAATCAATGACATATAAGGTGCTTCTTTAAAGACTGTCTCTACCAGTTTTTGTATAGGTTTTCAATGTGAATTCTAAAGGAGATTAATCCATCAGTATGAGATTTCTAAACGAATAAAAATAATCTTTATGTTTAGAAGAGAAGAAATTTTGTGAAGAAGTTCTAACTGTGCTAAAGGGCACTATATTCAACTATAATATAATAACATAATAAAGCATGAGTTTAGCAGAGTTCTAATATTTTTGTAGCTCATAATTTTTCAAGCGTTTTTGCCTCAAACAAACAAACTGAGGATACATAAAAGAAGTAGAGTCCTCATCCTACAGTAACATACATTTTTCATTTCATGTGCAGAAATGAATTCTAGTCGAAATTTGGCTTGCAACTGTTAAAACACAGGAGCATATGAGAACAGCCTAAGTTCCTGAAGTTCCCGAGGTAAAGGTTACAGTTTTCGGAATCGTTTGTAATATATGAAATTTTCAGTACTTCAGGAAACGAGAAGGTACACATAAGAGACAGCATCGTATGCTTTATGCTAGATTATTCTATTTTAAAAAAATACTCATCTGAATCGGTTATCCAATAAAGTGATTGATAAAAGGCAGCGCAAATCTTCATATGCACACTCAGAGTCTGTGTTTGCTGAAAATGACAAAAGTCTATTGATAGTCAGACTAAAGCATCAAAGTGTATTTTAGAGATTTATGCCTCACGACTGTAGTTTCTTCAGTGTGGTGAACTGACTATAGAGGTTTTAAGAAGACGCGATGAAATCAAACAGTTTGGTGTATATGCTTTTATTTTCTCATCTTTCTCAATTTTGATTTACCGTAAACGCTACCACTGACTTCTTCAGTTTTTTAACGCGTTATCTGTATTTGTTGGTTATCACTATAAATTACGGAATAATGTAAAAGTTTGAATCACAGCTCCTTACGCCCGGGGGCCTACATAGTTTTTTTCTTCCACTGGACACACACTCACATTGAGTAAGAGACCTTTATTTTAAACTATCTGAGTTTCTACAAGCTTTCTGATACCAGTGGTTTGTTTATTTCGATTCAGTGTCATAAAACTGTCATTTATTCAAAGTAAAATGAATCGGTGAAAAGATTTTAAGTGAGACAAAACAAAACAAACAGCCTTTTAAGCAGTCGGCTTAATAATGTCTGTGAACTATGAGTGTTAAATAAGCGTAGTGATAAAGTGAAAGAGATGTTTATTTTTCTTCAACAAACGTAAATTCAGTGAGGGACTCAGCACGTTAGTACCTGTTGTCTTTCATACCTGTACAAGTTATGGATAAGGTGAGAAATTTCATCATGTCGAATAAAATGGGGTCAAAAATATGGAAAATATCATGAATAGGAAAAAAACGTCATGCAGACAGTATGCCTAAGACATAATTAAATTGTCACAGTAGATATGCTGGACTCGTTATGGATAGGAAGTATCAATTTCATAGTGTTCATTATTAACATATTTAGGTGACAATAACTACTAAACAAATAAACAAAGAAAAAAATAGTCAGTTATATTACAACTTATTGAAAGAACAAAAATAATAGATAAGAAATATGAAAATATACAAAAACCTAAGCAGTAAAATTTACGTCTCGAGGTCAGTGTTTAGTCTGCCTATGGATTTATGTTATGTGTTAAAAGGTGGCCTTGCCTATTTCGTAATTACTGACAGTTAAATCTTCGATTTGGATGATGCGTTTTCCTCAGAAAAATGTAAATTGGTGAATCACTGGTTATGATTGAGCATTAGCTTGAAAACAGATTAATATTTTCTGTAACCTTCTTCATATGAATGTATACAGTATTCATGTAGTAAGAATTTATGTTTGTCAAAAAGGTGACTATAGAAATTATCCTCAAAAAGTGATTTATGTTCTGTCTATCTATGCTAAATCGCATTTAATTGGACACGAAATCTCTTGAAGACTAATGAAGTGAATAAAAAGCAGGTAAACAAAAAATTTTTTTTAAGGAACTTAGCTAGTTTGGATTCCTCCTTCTTTATGTTTATTGTTATAAGTACATAGGGCTAAGCAGAGTTACTTATAGAATTTCTGTTACCCCGCTTTTTCATAAAATTGTTGTCTGCTTAGACATATGAACTTGGTAATGTATATAATAATAATAATCTACTTTTTTACAAAAACAGTACTTATAATACGGTATGGAATTCTCAGCATTTATTACAATATATTCGAATAAGATATGAAGATGTGCTCTGTGCATCTCTCCATAATATTCATGTTTTAGTCTTTCCTTAAACGTAAACTTATTATGTCTGAAATTCCGTATTTTAACGGTTAATTTTTACAGTTAGATCTTTGGAAAGGAAAGTGTCTTTGACGTTTTGTAATCCTTTGGTTCTGAACAACAGTTGAAGAATTGGTCAGTTATAAACTAGGTACCAGGCAGCAGGTTTTAAAATTTCTGTTTCTTAAATTTTATAGTCTGAAAATACTCTGGATGAATAAGAAAGTTATCCGATGACTCTCCGGTTGTGATAGGCTTTAGAATGTTTAATCAGACTAAAATTTTCTTTGTTATCTGAATGTTTAACGTGATGATGGAGTTCTGAGGACTACCCGTTTCAGTACGATGTTAAGGAGTTCATAGTTTTCTCAGAGCTTCTTTATAAATCTATAATTCTATGTTAACTGTTCTTAACTAACTAGCGCATAAAATGCCGCACATTAACTTAGTAGATGAGCCAAATTAGTGTCTATATATCGCATGTGTTGTAAAGCTTATTCCAAGTACGAAAATATGCAGAACAAACATCCCATGGAATGACAGTAATTAGTTCCATCTGATAGTATGCTCAACGTTATTTTCATATTTTCTATTAGTTCCTGTTTCATACATAATATTGTTTACCCTGCTGATTTTAAATTTCTAAAGCCAGTTCATTCAGAACATCATGTCATTTACATAAAACACAATCTCTTCAAATAAATATCTTTCGGAAAGATTTTCTTTACCGTGACTACTGTCCTCTTTCCTCTGCCATCACTTATCATCCATATATTTGTGAAAATTTCAATAGCCTACATGATTATATTATTCACATTTAAACTGATGTTCACGAGTATTCAATGTCAAAGGTAATAATTCAACTGTAAAACACCTGGTTTTTTGTAGAACTTCAGGTTATCTTACGTTTTGGTGACTATTGCTAACTAACATCACTGGAAGTTAAAGACTGCCAACTCAGTAGCACTGAACAGCTCATAAAACTTATGTTATTATCTTTATTTCTTTGTTTGTGTAACCTTGCATCAGAAAAACGATCTGTATTAAATGTACATCAAAGAACACAAAAATAGATAATACTAGTGAGAACATAAATCAACTAAATCTTACCTTTAATACACGGTGCATCATGAAGACGTGTTTGTTTATAACCATCTTGACAACGATTGCAAGCTTGTCCAATAACTCCTGGTTTACACGGACACTGACCAGTTTTACGATCACAGTGTTGATTAGGAACTGATCCGATTGGATGACACCGACATTCTACAAGTAATACACTCATAAACGTTTAATCTTTTCTTTTTACCTTGATGAAGGTGAATAACCTACAAAACAACATGCTTAAAAAGTTTTCTAGTGGTAATATATATTTACATATATTCATTCCACATAAACAGCGTGCAGTTTGACGGCGATATAAGATGCAGAAATATATATATATATGTGCATCTTATCAGTGATGTTGTTGAAATCGTTCATACTTGTAAGTACCGACTTCACATTGAAACTACTACTATGCATCAATTTTTATCATACGATACACCATGAACAGATGCTTCAAACATATTGATGTGAATTAAATTAAGTTTGTATCCAAAACAGTTTTGTTCATTCTCGTTTATAACATAGTTATAATTTTCAGACTGCTATTCATATACACTTGATATTTGGCATGACACTGGAGCATATGTCAAAAAAAGAAACGGATAACCAGCTAAAAGGATGTTAGTTCATTTTCTGTTGTTGTCCACATCTTTTAAAGCACTTTCATTCCTTATACTTTCTTTAATCCTCTTTTAGTTATTCTTCCAGAACTCTCAAAGTAATATGTATTTTTTTTCAATAATACAGATAAGTACACAGCAAAAAATAATACCATGCACTTTATTGCATGAAAGCCAAAATGAAGAGGGAACTACTGAGTGTCTAAACCACTACAGTTTGTATTGCACAGTATGTCTCTACTCTTTACCACTGACATTAAGTTACGCAAATCCATCAACAGTATTTATCACACTAAAATGGGTCCTCACACATGTATATCTTACCTAGACAGACTTGGTCGTGACTAACAGGTTTTGTCCAGTCCCTATAATAACCTGTCGCGCAATTATGACACCTTCGCCCTACCGTATTATGCTGACAGTCTTGACACACACCACCGCTTACTTTCATCGACATCAAATATAACTGATTTGAAAAAATACACGAATTTGAATGCAAATTGCAATCACATCCTGATCATTGTTAGTATTCGTGCATTCATGCATTAAAAAGTACATTTGCAATGTGGAATGCAGGAATTCATGCAGCGTTATTTATTTTTGTTTTTAAATAACAATAAATAAACACCGATATATGAGATATCACAGTTGTTACCACAGCAACATTGAATTTTGAAGCACATTGTTTGGTTAGCATTGTATGGTTAGGATTGTAGAATGGATATAGGACGAACAACGAATCGGTAAACGGTTTCCCCATCATGTTATTTTGCGAGGAACAGTAAGTTATTAAATTTGATAGATAAACAAATAAGCATAACAACAATAATGAATTAGTCACAAATAACAACGACAACAATAGCAAAGTTAGTCACGTTGACAACACACAACATCGATACTGACATGAAAAAATACAAAAGTCAATCTAAAATAAATCAATACCACATTTTGGGGATTAGTTGATAATAAACTTTAAGAACTTTCCTTGCTTATCTTTGTTATCATTAACTGCCTACCTCGACATGCTTGCTCATTTCCAATGGGTAGTTTCAGATCACGATAATAACCAGTTATGCATTGATCACAGTTTGGACCTTCAGTATGATGCTGACATGCAACACATACACCACCGGTTTTACCACCGGAACGTTTGAATGCTTTTACGCTGAACACACACTGATTAGTGTGGTTACCGCACTGACAGGCTATTTTGAAAAAGGAGGTGAATTAATTAACTACAGAATCCATTAAAATAAAGAATTGTCAGCATAATGATCCTTGTAGGTTCTAATTCTTGTTACCACTTATAAATAGGTTATTAAGTCATTTATAATTTACTCCATCTAGATAAAGTAGTTAAATTTGGACAACATGGAATAAAATAACTGTTTTAACTGTAAACACTAGAATAAACTAAATTCAGAAACAGTTGCTTGCTCCTGGTGATATCCAAAGAAATTCGCTTTCACCATCACTACTTCTACAGTTCCCATATTTTTGGTGTTAGCTTTAAAAGTTACACATGTTTAGCTGCTCCATAAATGCAATAAGACTTCGTACGCCCTCAGTCATTATAGAAACGTATTCACTCTAGTTGTTTGTTTGTAATCATTTGCTCTTCTTTTCCAAATGAAAATGAATAGAACCTCGAAGCCAAGTTTTCTCATATGCAGTTTTGTAGCTGATAAAAAAGTGGAATTAATCTCTCTATTGAGAGAATATGAAATTGTTAATTTCTAGACTACAGAATGGTATTGTTCATAGAAATTATACTTAAAAAATTCTACATGGTGAAAATATATTGCCCATCGTGAGACTGTGTTAATTCACAGCAGATTATTTTCAAGAACTTCATAAAATTCAACCATGTTGATTCCTCAGCCAAACAAATAAACTGCCCGACTGGTATCGATGTAATGCGTGATAATGGAAGGTGAAACAGAAAACTAGACCGCTGGAAAATTTGATCCCCTTGATTCTATCAGCGGAGGGTCTCTCCGTTGATTCTGGCATTGTTGTTTTCAAATCCTGTCGTGATCCAAAATTTTCATTTCACCTTCAACCATCGTTCATTACATGTACAATTGTTGCTTTTAAAAGGAATTTTAGTTACCTAGGTTTAATATAACTGAATAAAATAATATACTTCAGTCAATCAGTAAAAAATATCGGTGGAATTAATGGAACATTACTGTTATTATTATTATTATTGCAATAACATTTACTACTGGTAGATTTAATTAGCATTCAGTATAACCAACTTGTCTGTGGCTTTTGAAAGTTACGCACCAATTTACATTTCTCACATTTAGAATTTTGCATAGTTTAAAAGTAGATGGTGTTGTGTATCCATTTAAAAGTTTCGTTAAAATCTTTCATAGAAAATATCTGACTACTACCTGATGAAAAACATATCAACCAAATTAGTTTTGAAGTCAAAAGTTAAGCTTTCAGGAATATTCTTCACATCTACAAATTATATTAGGAAACTTCTAAAAGTAAAGGACCTCTGAACTTAACTTTCGTTTTAGTTTAAAACTTTTATGCTCAGAAAAAACAGTGGCATTTAGTTGGAATTAAAGGTACACAGGTCCCATGCTAAGGATGTTATCATTCATTTGCTAGAATCAAATTTAATAGCTCGTATTTTCTAACTAGCGATATCGCTTTTAATGCATTGCTTTCGGAAACTCTTCCGATTTACGAGAATATACTACAGAATTTGCGTCTGTTGATAAGGTCAAACGAAAAAATTTCAAAAATAAAATTCAGAAATAGTTATTTTCTGTACTTCTTAGTATTCACTGTTACTTAGTGTAGTGAAAACTAACTCGATATTCTATTATGGTTCTTTTTAATTGTCACCAGTACATTTTAATCCCCAAACTTCTATCAGATTAATGTTGTTTGGTGGCTGTAGCGTTGGTTTGTGCTCAGTAAAACAACACGACAGTCTGGATGTCATTTTCTCTCTTTAGAATACTGTAGAAAACTAATAAGTCAAATCCATTCTTCTAAATAATTATAGCCCATCATTTATCAATTCTCGATCCTCAGAAATACAGTTCAGTGAGTCTCTACATGTTATTTTGAGGACCAGATATGTAAACAGAAATTTATGTAGATTTAACTCTCTCGGGATTTATGTGTTCCTTTATCTTGTGCACTATTTAACGTATTACTGGAGTGAAACCTCACATGCTGAATACTGGTGATATTCTCAACTTCACTGGAAGTGAACGCAAGTTCATAGGTACGAGATAGAATTTGAGAAAAGTGGTGTTTAGGACAACTACTAAAAAAGTTAATATCACTTTAAGGTATTCTGATAATTAAAATAAATCTACCTCAGACATGCTTCTTATATCAAGAAAATGATTTACACAATTGTAACTTAATTTTAGAGATTTTTTTGCAGTGTAAGCAAAAGTTTTATTATGAGTGAAATTTATTTCGATTAAGTCTCACCGTGTTATACTAATGACGTTTCGAGCACAATTTATTACTCATAATCATATCAAGGTACTGACACAACTTTCTAACTTCGTTTATATGATTCCATTACTTTTTCATGGCTTGACTTAATTGGTAGTAATATTTTCCATATTTCCGATATGAGTGATGAGTCATTCCTATTGCACGTGTTGGGAATAAACGCGATGAACAAGGATTTAGTGCTCGAAACGTCATCAGCACATATTACTGTATAACACTGTGAGACTTTATCAAAATATATTTTACACACAAAGGAATTACACTCTACCACAGTGCAAAAGTTCTATTCTTATAAGCAAAAACTTTTTAACACACTACAAAGTGAAAAAAGTATATGAAACCATCGAAAAATCACTGTCGTTGAACAAGTTGGCTTAAATTGCAAAACGATATTCACCAACTTCTGACTGAGATGGTTAATTAAAAATTTAAGATTTGAAGACTTATAAGTAAACTTTAAGTTCTAAGATGGTCTCTCTATGATGTTATGGAGAGATTAGTCGAAATTGTTTTGTTAATACGAAGATTACAGCTACCGTGAAAACTCGTAATATGATTCTTTTTAACTGGAAATAGATGAAATTAAGGAAAGCATGCATTGTATACAATTTCAAGAGGAAACTGTTTGCACTTTTCGAAGTATTTCCTCACTGATACTATTTGATCCCATATATTTGTCTCTTAATCCACTTTAAATATCTGCATCTATATGTAAATGCCATGCAACAGAAATATCTCTTTATTTACACGTTTACTGCGTTATATTACACTTTTAAAACCAAACAGATGATAGAAGATAATTTCGCAAATTAACATACATTTGAAGACTACGTTTCTGCAAACAGACTGTGAAGTGGTTAGTCTTCAAAACTATGTTTCTCTATGCATACCTCTACGTCATCTGTTTTCTTTATTGTTTTTTTTTGTTTCACTTCAGATTAATGCTTATCGGGTATAATAGTTTTTGACAGCGCAGACAAATGGCTGAAAACCATCGTCAATTCCTACAAATATTTAAACACAAACATACACAAACTAATTGAACAAGTACTTATGGACTGGCAACTAGGCACACTATCAAGGTTTTGGTGTTGACCACCTACCAGTATCGTTAGCATATTGCAATCACATAAATATCTATTTGTCATCATCCCTTAGTCTCAGTATTTGTTTGTGCTTATAAATATATGTGTACCTACGCACATATACCCCTGTCATTACAATGGAATTATTTTCATGTTTAGATGATATATTTTATTACCGTTTGCTGGGCTTATAAATTTTCCACACACATTGGTGTAAAAGTGTTCTACAAATTATATATATATAAGTTCAGATAGTAATAACACTAAAGTTTGTCGACTAAATGTGAGAATAATGTTGATAATGTACATTGAAAATAGGTGTGTTGAAATACAAGAATGTGAAGAATCAAAACAGACTGACAAATTAGTGACGAATATTAACAACTGCTGTTTAAAAGAAAAGGCGAGAAGACAGAAAAATAAGGAAAGACACTAGACCAATTAAGGATTTTTTTTTCTGGGTTTTTGAAACTCTGACAAAGCTAAACATGATTCGACTATAATTAACCCTACCAATTATAAAGAAGATAATAAAAGTGAGAATAATGAAATGAACAGTGTTCAAAAGTAGATGTATCTAGATAATTTTAAACTAACCGGCACTCTTTTAAAAATTTAATGAACTTCGGTATGTCATATGTATCAAGGATCTACTCCCCATAAAGAAGATAAAACTCAAAATAAGATGAAGAGTGTTTCACTCAGTATATACGATGGAGAACTCTTTAATTAGTTAACCCTTGATGATATATATATATATATATATATATTTATAATCCTCAGTTTTTAAGTAAAATGACACATTCATCTGATTTCATATGAATCATGAATGTTAACCTTGAATAATACTTACACGATCTTTACATCTAAATCAAATGTACTTTTTGTATAGGTAGATTAAAATAGAATGTGAAAAATAAGTCACTCTGCTAA